TAACCACTTTAACTATATGGAGTGTGTGTAAATAGTTACTGCAGTCTTCTTACTCGGGTCATACGAGGAGGTTTCTGCTTTGTCCATCTGAACATCAACAGTTTCTGGCTTTTGTGTCTCACACATTCATTTCTGTGTTGATGTTAATCTGCAATTTTGAATATAATAAAAATAAGTTGTCTTTCAAAAAAAAAAATCAGTTTGTTTCATTTATTGACTGTTATATATCACTTCCTCATGGCATGTCTTCCCAGCATCCCATCCCAGCATTGCACTGTTTTATGAAACTAATAAAGACATAGTGTATAAAAATAAAAACATCATCCACACAACTAAAAGTGAGAGGCAGGTTCCACAGGTTCACATCAGTTGTGCTACAAAAGCATTGCCCTCCACTTCTGAGGAACCTCCATGAATGTATGCACTCAGTGACAGACCACATGGTTGAGGTTATCCAGCTCTAACATTTAAACAAATATTTCACATGCATGATTGCACTGATGCAAAAATTACACCATGGGTACCAAGGGTGGAGGAATTATCAAAATCCTGATTTAGGTAAAAGTCCCAATTCCACAGGTAGAAACATGTTTACAAACTTGCCAAAAAAGTAGTGGAGACTAAATTGCTTTGCTAATGTGAATGTGAATGGTTTTCAGACATGCACTGACTGTAGCGGGACACTCCGTCAGTGGAATTCACAATTATATATTCCCTTTATACGTCCTGCTCTCTGCATGCTCCTCCAAGGCTCCACCTCAAAATATTGACATGCTGGCGAATAAACACAATTTTAATTTGAGTTTTTAAAAGTTTAAATCATGGCTCATGTAATGTCATCACAAACTACAGGTGTCACATGAATGTAGTGGAGGGTAAATACAATATTTCAGTCCAAAACTGCTGGAGTAAGTATCAGTACTTCAAAGTCGTACTTACAGTGAGAAGGATATTGAGCACATGGCCACATCATTGTCCTGGCTGTGATGTAACAATGACCAACACCAACAAGGCCACCATGATGCATGAAGAAAACTCATACATTTACAAGGATATTGACATTTTTACCATGAGTTACAATATGTCACAGCTTCAGAAGTGACTCTCATCTCTCCTATTGACATTCATCTGTTTTTTTAAATCCCCACACAACCTCTTTCCCTTTGATTTTCTTTTCTTACATCATTTTCTATTCGCTCTTGATTTGCTTTCTTTTATTTTTAGCTTGACTTTTTTTACTGCTCGACATTGTTCTCTTGTTTCTTTTTCTCCCTGCGGCTTGCCTCTCACTTACAGTCGTCTTGTATCTTGACTGCTTCAATTTCTGATTTCACCTTTTGTTCCTGTCGTCTTTTTCCCTTTTTTCTCTCAGGTATTTTTTTTCAGTGTTTCCATACTTTTTCTCTTTATTTCTTATTATCTTTAGATTCATCTTCCTTCATTCTTCCATTTGTTATTTTTCTGTAAATAGATTTTCCGTATTTCATTGTGATTTTCTGTGTATTATTGAGAAAAGACTGATTTTAATGTTTTATCACTGTTTAAGATGTTGAGTCCAAAACATTGATTAGGACCATAGACGGAAAAAAAACAGTGAAGCCAGAGAGTCCTGACAATTTGTGTTATTTGAAATGAAATCAGGATGTGTGTGTGTTTCTGAGTGGGGGCAGCTGAGTTGTGCAGAGGTTATTATAGAACTGTTGCCTCCCATCAAGAAGGTTCTTGATTCCAATCTCAGGTTGGCCTCAGCCTGTCTGTGGAGTCTGTTTCCTCTGGGTACTCCAGTTCTGAGTCAGGCCAATTGAAGACTTTAAATTGATTTTAGATGATTTTAATGTAAGCATGAATGGTCATTTGTCTTTGCCCTGCGATACGCTGGTGACCTGTCCGGGGTGTACCCCGCCTCTGGCACAAGTCATCTGGGACTGGCTCCTGCCCTCCTGCACCTTTTAAAGGATAAGCAACATAAATAATGGATGGATGGATGGATTTGTTCAACCTCACTTTTTGTCCCGCTGCGTTGTCATGTTGGAACATGGAAAAAAACAGCCACACAAAGGTGCACAATTTTATGCACAGGGATGTCCAGACAGATGGTGAAGGTGTCATAACAGATTGTTAAAATAAGCTACTGTTGGTTTGTCCTGCTAAGCAAAGTTTTCTGCATCCTTTTCATAAAACAATTTAATTTCACAATTCTCATTATTACTACCCTGATATGTTAGATTTTCCACATATTACATGCCATTCAAATTGGATGCACAAGCACCTCACCCAACACACTCTTTCATTCCATAGGGTTTCCATCTCCCCGTTTTTCATTCCCTCACTTTCCTCTCCTCTCCCTGATTTTTTTGTCCTTCATTTCATGAAGCCAATTTACCCTCTCTCCTCTCTTCAAAGAACATCCACCTCCTGTTGCCACCACCCACTGATATTCCGCTCTGTTCCATATTTCTTTTCATCAGTCCTTTCACCACGGCCTCCTCCACCGAAATATCATGCATATCCCTCCGTTAATGCATCTCTGCAGGATGATGACACTGCAAGATGGAGGTTAGTTTACCTCCTCCTGTTCTTTTTCTTCAAGACTTCCATAAACCTTTCAAGCTTTAGTGTCATAATCTTTACCTGTCCTCCTTTTTCACTATTTCAGCCTCACATCCTCTTGAACCTCTCCATTACTCTGAGTATTTTTTATTTTCTAGTGAGACTATATCCAGATAATGATTCATCATTATTACTGAACTGGGATCTGCTCTTATTACCCAAGGGTTGTTATTGAGTAATCTAAAGCTTGTTAGGCAGGGAGGCATATTTCACTGCAGTCTTATTCTTTTTGTAGAAAGCCATTAAGAGACCTAATAAAATAGCAGCATTAGACTTGAGACAGCCAGTAAAATCAAATGATGTGCTGTTGTTCCACTGCACTGAAACGCTGTGTATTTAAATTCACATTTTCTTATCTGCATTAAACCCCAGAATCCCTCAGTGCTTATCACCAGGAGCTAGTTAATCCGCAGCTGAGTGCCAACATGTCAGATCCGCACCATTAAAGTGAAAACGTCTCCACAAGCTTTGCAGTTGTCGTTTATGAGTCAATGCACTCCTCCACTCATGTTTGTGTCATCGGCGGCTCAAACCAAAGTGTGGCCAACGAAAGCAGGCAGCCGAGCCCATCTGATAAGACGGATCAAATGCCTCCCGATTCCGGAAATATATTTTGTGCCACGGGCCGTCAGTAATCCCTCCTTGATCAACTGTCACTAAACTGTCCTGGAAAATGCTAGAAGACATGTAACTCTACCCTTGGCTGCATTCTCTGAATCTCAATCCTCGACTCCTCTTCCTTCCTCCTTCCTCCTGTTCAGGGTTTCTGCTGGGGTTTGTTTCCCTTCAGTGTCGATGTGCTCTGACAGTTGACCCTGATTTTCCTCTTCCAGCGTGTCCCTGTCTCTTCACACACTTCTTTTCTCATTTCGTCTCCCTGCATGTGTCCTCTGTATTTCCTCTAATATTGTCTCCATCTACTCTAATCACATACAAGCACAAACACATAAGCTCCTAATTGATCAAGCAGCAGTGACCCAATTCATCTCTGCACCATATTGACTGACTCGCCTTCTCTTGCTTACATTTTTGAGCATCTGCTCAATCTGCTGTGAAAACAATCTGCGCTCTGCACAATTCAAACAAAAAAAATTCACAAGAAGACAAATTGGTATCAACAAATCGTAGCCACTCCAGTGGGAGATTCTAACACTTTTTATTATGGAGGAATCTGATGCTTTAAATGTAGACATTCACATTCGAACAAATATAAGATGCTTTTAAGGACTGTCCCTGGAGAGATCATTCTGTCAGGTCACCGATGAGAAACCAGCAGAAGCAACTACCTAGCGGATATTGGCCAAGGATAAAGACTAATAAAAAAAAAAGATAAGTTCACAACCGTAAGTTCACAAAATGTAGTATTAGTACTACCAAATCCTCATATGTGAGTTATGTTGTACGTGGGTTATGTTTAAAGAAAATATATTTTAGAACAAACTGAAAATCACTAAAACTTAATCTTCTTATTCTGGTAGCTAATAAACTCAGGGTTTAAGATGCTGTGGGTGGAACGGTGATAAAGTGGTTAGTAGTGTAGCTCCACAGTAAGAGGGTTTGAATCCCAGTGTGGAGTATGTTTCCCACCATGGTTGCCTAAGTTTTTCTTTGGCTCACTCCCATAGTATGAAGACATGCAGATTAGTGTTAGGTTCTCTTAAAACTGTTACTTTACTTTGACTTTTAATTAAATGTAGGTGTACGTGTGAATGGTTTTCCATCTCTGTATGTTGGCCCTGTGGTACGCTGGCGACCAGATGTACCTGGGTGAACAGTACAGATAACAGATAGTTATAGATATAGACAGTTTTAGATACTGTGAAATCATATACATCCTGATGTTTATACATTATGACTGAAAATACAAGATGTGACTATAAGCTGTCAGCTGCTGCTGCAGTGGAAACTTTCACAATAAAGTTTCTGTGGAAGAGCTGTTTCATGTTGCGTGTCGGAGAATGAAGCACCGACGGGCTTTGAAGAGGGAAAAGCAGCTAATTGCCCCATATTCAACACAAGGTGGTTTTGAAATCGCTCCATTTCTTTTTCAAAAGAGGTTTCTCAAAGGTTCCTGCAGCTGATATCATGAGCTTATATAAGGTACTTTATGTCAGTTCTATTCAGTGAGGTCGAAGAAAACTATTTCCTGTTTTACAGTTTCTTCAGCTGTTTCATTCTGATACAATTAAAATCTGGTATTTTGCAGCAGTTTAAAAACTGGAAATCAAATAAGAAGCTATTTTTTACTCCTGCTGAAGAACTTAACCTATAACCCCGTAAACACAATACTACGTAAACGTCCCAATATATGGGCCACTTCATTTAGCTTGAACTGTTATTTACATTTCACAAGCATTTTACTCAAGGAGACAACATGTACTGCATATTTTCATGTCATCAATGTGTCATGAACTTTATTTCATGCCAGAAAACAATCATAACATCCACATAACAACTGTATTATTCATAAAAGAAATGAAACAAAGGGTGAACACAATCATTCATCTCTTTATCAGAGCGACCTAGGCTTCATAAAGTATCATACTGTACATTTACCAGTGTTCTACTACAGTTACTTACATCATTACATTATCTATTGTACACAATCGAATTACTTCTTATATCGTTACACATTAAACACCTTCTGCTTCTTTTCTGTACTCAAAATATAAACCTCTATGTGTGTGTACTGTGTGCCGTTTAACTCTTATTATACACTGCAAATGTAAAATAGTATAGAGTAACAGTACAGGCAAACTGCTCAGTTATTTGGTTAATTACCATCCACTATGTTTTCTCACTACACTTCAGTGCAGCTCTTGGCTTGATAACAGTTGATTCTACATTTTTAATAGACAATCTACAATAAACATCTGTTCGTCACAACTAGGTCCATGTTTCTTCTTTTTTATAAAGTGCAAAAGTGTCACACGGATGATAAAAGTTTAGATGCAGACCATTATCATTTATTAACTTGGTTCTATCTAACAGACACTTGGTAGCAAAGCTCTGAAGAGGACAACAAAGCACAGAACCACAGAGAGAACAAGGGAGGATGCAGGTGAACCCTGCCACTACGTCTGTTTTTGTTTGTACTGAAGAATGACAGATCAGTTGTTATTCATGTGTTTCTATTTTTGTGTCATTGACGTTATATCTACTCTAAGATGCACATAGTTCTCATCAAAATAAACTATCACAGAGAATACGAAATCATGCAAATCTTTTTGTTCTTTTTATTTCTTGTGTGTCTATTTAATCAAGAGCAAGAAATGTGCAAATACAGAGGGGGGAAAAGTATTGGGAACAGACCCTGATCACAAAATGAAAAATTTGCAATGCCTCTTCTCTGTAATCCAAGGTTTTAGTTTGTATCACTCATTAATCTCCTTTTTTATAACCTCGGAGCATGGCTTTGCAAAAACAACCCTGGTCATGACATGGGGAAAAAGTAGATTTCAAGGAACAAAAAGGAAAAAAAATATTCAATTGCTTTAACAATGTTAAATAACAGCTGCTCCGCTCTGTCAGTTGTTGTTCATAATCCACCAAGAGGCTGTGAAATGAAACAAAAATATATATATAATTTTTTTATGTTCTTTGCCTGAGATAAATCAATCAGAAAACATTTCTATATTCCATGGGAATAATAATCCCAGAATAGGGGATATTACAACTACAAAAAATAAACAAACTGGATTTATGTGAGATTTTGTGCATGGAAGAGTGAAGTTAGAGATGATTGTTAAAAAGTTAGAAGGTCAGATCTCTACCTGGGAGGAGCATGGTGGAGACCATCTCCGGCTCTTCCAGTGAGTCAATAATGCAGCGCAGGAAAGTCTTACTGATGGACGACTGCAGGTAGCTGAGTGGAAACAGGGATGGAAGGCATGAGACTGCCGTTTGACCGACACATTTTGGCTCATGCACTGAAATTCTCCGAATGTTTTTTCTGGTTTTAATATGACGTGAGACCTTGTGTGATCCTACCTCATCCAGGAGAGACGATCCTGCCAAAATTCATACATGATGAAGCATGATCTGTCTGGCAGGTTCTGGACTGAAACGCTGAAAATAAAAACACAAAGGGAGACAGAGAGAGAGACAGAGATGGAGGGAGGGAAGGAGGGGTCATGGTGCATGTTTGGGAAAATTGAAACGATTGGAAGTGGCTGCTTGAAATCACAGAGAGCTCCTGAGGACAAACAAAGGCACTCAGGCAGAAAACGGGACATACTGCAGATTGTTTAGCTGGCTGTTGGTGGCGTCTGTGTAGATTTTGAGAGCTTGCTGAAACTGCTCCACGTCTCTCTCCTTCACAGACATTTGCCTCTGAACCAGAAGAATGTTCTAGAGCAGAGTGAGAGAAAACAATTACAGATGACATCGTCAAACTCAGTAGAGCGTGTACCTCTGCCAACAGTCCCCTGAGATATCAGCTCCCTAAATGTGCCTGATCTCTCGCTATGTTAAATAAAGTGAACAAATTACTGGATCCATCACCTGAACTCCACACCAAAATTCAATGGGTTCTTCCCTGACTCACACCAAATCCTTCCACCAAATTTAGCAGAAATCCATTCGACTGTTTTTGTGTAATCTTGCTTATAAACAAACAAACAAACAAAAGAAAGGGGGTGAAAACCTCACTGGTGGAAGTAATAATGTCCGTTCCAGCTATTTTTAAAAAATCATACAAAATTCACATATAATGCATTAAAACACTTTGCAACAATTGACATATACTGTATACATACTGGTGAACCTATATTTCTCATGTTTGACTCACCGATTTATACGTCCCTGCTAACGTGTCCTCTTTGAGGGGCTCAAGATGTGGACTCTGAAAATGGGGCATAAATATTTCAGTAAGACATGAGCAGAACAACAAATAGAAGTGAAATGAATCCAGCAGAGGCGCAGAATGACCTCTGGTTACAGCCTGCCACAAGGCATTAGCTCTCACAAAGGAAGTGATAGCCACATTTGTATTAACCCTCCAACAGCCTCACTCAGACTGTGGTATTCATTCTACATGGCCACGATAAGATAAAGTATTAGTGCATTAGTAGGTTTGTTACTTATCCTCGCAGTGCTGATATCTAACCTGGGAAAAAGCCTCATCTCCAATCTCAGATGTATTTTTGAAATGTAAATCTGCTGTCACAGACTGATGCATAAGTATCTGGATATATGCGTTAAGCATTACATTTTCAAACAACCATTGCTCACTGAAACCTCTTCGAGTGTGGAGCAATGCAGGTTTGCACTTTGTGTAAATCATATGTTGTCAGTGACATCTCACACGAGCATGCTAACAGAAAACATGAATGCAAAAGCCACAACACAATGGCAAAAACCACAATACAACTACTAAAGCCACACAGCGAAGACACAACAGAAGTCAGCCATCGTTTGTGAAAACCCAGTGAAGCAAGTCCTTGCATTAAATTTGATGCTTGTCTATTTGAGGTGTTAAAGGGATAGTTCACCGAAAAATGACAATTCACTCATTATCCACTCACCACTATGCCGGAGGGGTGGGTCAAGTGTTTGAGTCCACAAAACAGTCTCAGGGGTAAACAGGGTTGCAGCCAAATCCAATACAATTAAAGTAAAACGTGACCCCTGACAGCCTCGCTTGCAACACTTAGATGACACCACACGAGCAGTATGGAGACATGTTATATTTTTTATGTTACTTTATTAAGAAGAAGGAGTCACCGTTGACTTGTATTGGATTTGGCTGCAACACTGTTTACCCCTGAGACTACAGAAGCATTTTGTGGACTCAAACACTTCACCCCCTCCATCGGCATAGTGGTGAGTGAATAATGAATACATTTTTATTTTTCGGAGAACTACCCTTTAAAGTATGAGTGCATGGAACACCCAAAGAGGAAGAACGCACCTGCACCGTAACACCGCAAATAGACAAGCATCAAATTTTAAGCATGGTTTTCACAACCAACTGCTCATTAAAAAACAGCATGTATCTCCCTTCGTGTCATTGTCAGTGTCCAATCTTGCTCGCAGCAGTTGTGTTGTGGCTTTTGCATTCATGTTTTCTGGTAATGTGCTTGTATGAGACATCTCGGCCGCAGTAAAAATCATCCTCTCTGACAACATGTTAGATCCTACAACAGAGCAGACACCGTCCATCTGCACAAACAGAGTACAGCTCCTGCAGTCTGCTTGACATTTCTGCCTGTAACAGCTGAGCCTCTGCAGATTTCATACAAACCTCACACTCCAGTTTGTCTATGAGTTCCTCCAGCTGGTTGATCTGGGAGCCCCAGTGGTTGTCTGGCTCCACACTGACCCCTGAAACCAGAAACAAGATATGAGCACGACAAAAAGAAACAGTATCTTGTCTCTAGGTTCTTGTCCAAAGTCTGCACTCTACTTTTTCTGTATTTTAATCTCAGCGTTCCTTGCAGTGTACCTGTGGTGAGCATGCCAGAGTAGGGGTCAGTGGGAGAAAGACACATGTTCTTTTGGATGCGTCGGCCGGGACGCTTGGCCACCCTCTGGATGGGCAGGTCCTGGGGTGTCTTCAGTATCCTCCTCCCTGTGCAGCCTTGGTCATGAACAGCCTCCATTGCACAGTCAAGGGATGACTGCAGAGACTGTAGCTGGGTGGTGGTCTCCCTCAGGAGGAAGCGCGTCACAAACTGACCCAGCACTGATGAACCCTGGTACTCCTGTAGAGTATAAATGAAGGACAATGACTGGTCATAATGTAGATAAAACATATTCTTCTATTTTGTCCTAGAACTCTTTCTTGTTTCTTTCGGTTGTATTATTGTTTTCTATTGCAGTAGTTTGACAAGAGGAGCTGAGTTAAAATAACATTATTCCCACCTGCCCACTTAAAACATTCATGGTGTGTGCATGTCACAGTTAATTGAAGTGGAAAATGGAAAGAGCTTTTATAATAATATGTCGGTGCCTGGTGCTGGTTTTCAGGGACCTTTCTCAGCTTCAGTGTAACACATGTGTGTAACTTGTGTTTTTTTTTAGCTTTGTTACTTCACATTAAGAGTCTGCTAGCCCAGCTTCCTGTGGTGCAAAGAAATTGGGTTCAGGGGAAAATGAAAAGGAGACGTTTGAAAAACAACCATGTTTCAAATCTGTTTTGTTTTCTCAGCAGCAGCGACGAGACGCTGCACTACATGAGTAATGTATATTCAGTCCTTTTCTCAATTTCTCTCTGTGACAACACAGAGGATGTTTTCGTTTTATACCAGAGCACCACAATCACGCAGAAGATACATTTTACACATTACGAAAGATTTATAAACCAGAGTCTGTGGAAAACCTGCACCAATATTTTTGAGGATGTCAAAATATGGCAAAAAGATTCATGTGTAGCCAACAGTAAAAACAGGAGTTGCACCACACCATGAAATTCTTACTTGGCTTGTCCTCCACTGACACAAGATTAAACACAGAAATAAGAATCGAACACAGAAATAAAATACAAATAAAGAGTTGATTTCAATTCAAGATAAATATTCAAAGCGTGTTGAGAGAAAAAAGCAAAGACGTCAGCCACAGGGCGCATCCTCATATTCCTCTAAAGACTTCAACCCCCTCTTCTATTCTTATCGTTAAAAATGTGTGCGCCCGGGACTTGGGTTCTGTCCAATCCCAGACAAGACAAGTATTGTCGCCCCCTTCTCCATTATCTGAAATAAACTGTTCTCAATGTGTTTTCTAAAATGTTGTGTTTTGAACCCTCTGTGTTTTGAACCCTCTGGGCCACCGTATATATATATATCTAGAGAAGGGGAAAGTACAAGAAATAGAGAAAAGGGAGATAATGAAGATGGGTGAACAGAGAAAAGAAGATAACAATACAGAGAGAAAAGTATGTGTCTGATTGAATAATGGACTGATTTAAAAAGAGGGATAGAAACTAAAAGAGGCAGAGATGAGAGCAGCTGAGAAATTGCGAGATATGAGTTTCTGGTGCAGTTTTGACGTCAGGTCAGATGGATCTATTCTCTCCTCTTACTTTAACTCCTCTCTCTCTTGCTGCCATCAGTAAAACCCACTTCGTGCACTGCAGTGAAAATAAGTCACTGCAGTGAAACGGGCGCATTATACGGCTGCGTCCACATCCACACATGTATCTGTTCACAGACTGCGCCCCACCTTTGTAAGCCGGCTGAACGTGGAGGGTTATGTAAGCGCTGATAAAGACGGAGCTGAGCTATTGATTGTGTCTTAGTGGAAGTTCTCTGATGACCTGACCTCAGCGTTTTCCCCTAAAACAGCAGGACTGCTCTCTGCACGTCTCTTAGCCCTGCAGCATCTCATAGTTTACAGTTCTGCTCAGCTAAGCAGAACAAATATTTCATATCGCTCTGATTAGCATGTTTCACAATCTAAGGGTGAACGTCTGATGGGAATTTGTGTCTCATTTTCTCAAAATACATAATCTAAATTATTATTATTAATATATTTTTATTAACCAGTTTGCTTCTTTATTTGCTTTTATTAGAGTATTTACTTTTCATAAATCTCATTTTGGAACATGGATATAAGAACTTAAATAAATAAAAGAAATCATACTGGACAGCGCTTTTTAAATGGAAAGCAGATCATTTCTTCATGTCCTTTGCCCTGTATGTGATCTTGTGAAGATGAGAAACACAAAGGCAGTAATAACAGCAGTAATAACATGTAATTATTAGGCAGTCTTATGTAAGATAACGTATGCTTGAATGTGCATATTATGGAAATCATGTGTTCCTACATGTTACACAGCATACATTTTCATGTTGAAGTACACAGATGTTTGGCATTAATACTGAAATCATCTACTGTGATGTGAAAGTTCATTCTATCTGATGCTGAACACTCAGTTAATCCATTAGTTGGATGATGTACTTCATGCTTCTTGCTAAATACCTCTGCAAAGGAAGTTTGTTTGTTTTTTTGAAGGGCAGGGAAGATTTGGATCCAGGATTTTTTTCTTTTTTCTTTAACATTGCAGGATAGAGAAGTTTTTGACATTTTAATTAAAATAGTTAAGTTTGAATTTTGATGAAATCAAATGTATTGTATGTATGTATGTATGTATGTATTGATGAGATCATACAATTGTGCTGATCCATATATGGCTGAATGAGAACTGCCTATTCTTAAATTATGAACCCAAAATACTCTTTAACTTCTCAGTGTTTGCCATACAACATGAGATCCGATCACAAATGGTCACTGGAGACGCGTGTGGAAACTTCTAATTCCAGTAGAGCTGTTTCCTTGTGATCGGATTACTCAAGGTCCATGATGATGATCGAAATAAACATGATACAGCAGCATCCAAAGCAGTACTGTACACAACTGACATAAAAACACCAAGAAGAGATCGCTCACCTCTTTAGTTTTGTCCATGGCCTTCAAAATGGCCACATTCAGCTTTTCCAGAGCAGAGAGGACATTGACGTATTCTCCCAGATGTGGACTGAAGTACTCTGGAGGAGAAAACGCATTAAGCACCTTCCACATGGCTTGAGTGTGATCAGCACACTAGTCGGTGGTGTTTTGCCACAAGAGTGAAGTGAATCAATACTGACACTAATGGCATTAAATGGAATTAAAGCTGTTTGGCCGACACCATAATTACATCTTAAATACTGAGTCTCTGAGATGGGGGCATGCTTGGGTTTGAGTTATGGTCATCATCAGGCAGCTGGAGCCCAATGGAAGAGTTAAACCCATGAAACCTTGACATGTGAAGTTTGGAGAGCGACACTGACAGAACGCTTCGTAAGATGATGCAAGAATGATACATAATTACCTGAGAGTTTGTCTATGTCCAGGTTGCTGTGAAGAACGATGGCAACAGAAAGAAGAGACAGATTGATTGTAAGTAAGAACATAAGATAAGAGATTCATTATTATGATTATTATACCACATTCCCCGATTTTATACAATTCAAACAAAGAGAAAACAATGATAATGACTCTGGTGATAATCAGACTTTTAATGTCATGTCACTTTTGAAAAAGAAATGTCAATCACACTATCAAATTAGTTCCAATCATTTCAGAAAATAGGGTTTAGTTTGGTTACTTTAATCAACATCTAGTTTTAATATATGATATAGAGGATTTAATGCACTTCACAAGTTGTTTGCACTGTTTTGCAAATTCTTTTGTTGTGTTTATTTTTTTGAAGTTGAAAACATGCGCATAAAGTTGAGCTATATTAAAAGGCCAGAGATAAATCTCTAATATGTAGGTGGTGTTAAAGCTTCAGCCGAGGAGGTTATCAACATTTGTTTGTTTGTTTGCAGTATAATGTAAAAAAGAATACTAGACAGATTATCACAAAACTTGGTGGAAGGATGCAGATTGAGTCAGGTAAAATGTACCTGATCTCAATGTATGTTCACACAATATGATGATAATCTGGCCAGAGGCATGTGATCTCAGAGTGCCCTTAGTCCTTCACTGTGATTGGTTGGTACGTCAGCGATGGCAACAGCACATCATGATATTTCACTGCACTGCTATGCAACCAAATGTTTGTTATCATTATAACTGTGAGCTGATGGCACAGGCAAATGTTGACAGATTTGAAAATCAAATTTTTGCTCATCAGTGTACAAACACTGTGCTGCAAACTCCTTCATGTCAGAAATGAGACTCTCTCTCTGGAATATTGACATAATCTCCACTGAAGTGAAGTGTTGTCGTCTCGGTGCCAGGCAGCAGGAGAGCAGGAGGAGCCGCAGATGGCAGCAGAGTTGGAGGACGTCCAAGCTGAAGATGAGCTTACTCTTTCTTCTGCCTGTCGATGGAGTAGTACAGCTCCTGCATCTGCTCGTCGGTGAGGATACCATCAGTGAAATACGACTGGAACTCCTCCAAGGACAGCTTCCCGTCGTCTGAAAGGAGACACACCCGTTAAAACGATACCCCACCGAAGCCTGAGACCTTTTATCACCTTAATGAAGAGTTTGTCAATTATTCAACACAATGGGATGAGGCTCATTTGGATTCATGATCCTAGGAAGATAACGGTGCTGCTGCTGCAAATGAAAGTATCGGAGCATCAATCAGCACTGTCGTGAAATCTTCTCTTTGTTTGTGATTGATTATTAGGATCCACCCATTCATTATTTATACATTTAACCTTTTTAGGGTCGTCGGGGGAGCCAGCTGACATTGGACAAGAGGCAGGGTACGCCGTGGACAGGTCACCGGGGATCACAGGGTCAACTTACAGAGACAAACAACTGTTCACCCTCGTTCCTGCATACGGTCAATTTCAAGTCTCCAGTTAATCTAACACCAATCTGCACCCAGGCAGGAGAACATGCAAACCTTTCTGTGAGACGACAGTTTTATTTCATTCAATAGACACAAAGGCTTCATTAGGGTGAGCATGGTCTGCCTTTGAGAAGCAGCATCAGGGGCTGTGTGCTGCAGCGCTCTAGGCGCACTGATGAAATTGGGAACACACAGGGACTGAAGGCTGGCTTGAGCCGTCACAGCTGAGCTCACTTTAACGCACCAACTTCAGATGATAATGAGATCTCATCAGCTTTGCTCTGTAAGCACTGAAACCTTTAGAGACTGAGCTCTCAGATCCCTGCCGGCCAGCCTAGCTCTGACTGATAGAAGCCTGAGCCAACAGTAAATCATCTGTGAGCTGGAAGGAACTTTTATTTTGACACACTGTGGTTGGCTTCAGACATGATGCATTTTGCTGCAAAGACTTTTATGACAAATTCCCAGAAGAGATTTGATACAGTCTGCATGTCAAATAAATATTAAAGCGGAAATTGTTTTGCAATGAAGCTATTAGAGGAGGAAGAATCATAATTCCTCTCTCAAACTACTGTGTGAAAAAAATCGTCTTTCCACATGGTGTAGGAGTAAACACAATCTGTTGCACCTCTGACTCATTCTGCAGCCTTCTCCATCAGAGCCGCCTTGTTGTAGATTCACTTCAAATTAGAGACAGCCTGCAAACAAGTCACAGTGCACATACAGCTCAGATGGCTCATTATGCAAGTGTTCACGGTTTCTCAGAGAGCGAGGCTGCAGCGGTAGAAGGGTGGTCTCAAAAGCAGGAGGACAGTGGTCTGGCCGGCATGTGGAGGATTTGTTGCAGATTTCATCATCGGAATAGAATGTGCAGAAATAGGCACTGGAGATAAAATGAAAATCGAATGTGTTTATTATAGAATCTGTGAGACCTCGTCCTGAAAAAAACTAATGCATTGGCCGGGTTCAACAACAATACATTGCCTCGAAGCATGCTGGGAAGCTGAGCTTAAAAACTCATATAAAAATGAAATGTTTCAGAAAGTACTGAAAACTAAATGTTAGTAGAAAAACTAATTGAAGTATTTTAGTATAAATCTTAGTATAAATAAAGTTAAATCAATCAAATGATTCAAGTAGACACATTGTTATGTATTAATAATGAATTTGAGTGAACCTTTAACCTAAAGGAAACTAAAATTCGGTTTGATAATCAATTCACATGTATTTCTGTTTCTGAAATGTACACATCTTTCATGTTTATCATGTAAAACCCTGTGTGCTACTATAATAGCTCACAACACGTTTCCCTTCATATAAAAACCAGTACAGAGATTAAACACTGTACAGTTTTTATTAAATGCCTAGTACAGAATTTTTTCACATTGTGAAATGTGGTCAAAATGGATGTTACAATGTGACTCGTCAACGTGTAACTTTATTGCTGCTGTACCACACAATGTATTGTATTATGTGAGAATAGAACTGGTTTATCTCAGCAGTCAGTTCTCACACAGGCAGATTTAATTAGAGAATATTCCCGTTTTGCTGTATTTATCCCTGAGGTTTGTGACTAGCAACTGCTCATCACCTCTGTGGGAACATCTCGTTGTTTGCTCAAACTGGTGATGAATCAGTGCCTCACGACCGACACACGGCAGCTAATTGTCTCATTTCACACTGAATAAACCCGCAGCTCGAACTGTGACCAAAAATGAAAAAGTCTCCCTGCACTGAAGCTTGTATCTTTTAAGGAACACATTTCCTTGAGGGAATCCGAAGCTAAAAGTGCTAAAACAAAAGCAGCAACAATAATGCATGAAGTCCTGTGGTGCAGCGCAGCGATAAAAGCAGACTGGGGAGTAAACATTGGTCTCAAATAATGAGTTATTTATCAGTGTGGTTCTGAACTTCCTGTACATGTTCCCTCAAAGTCCAGGTGTCAAAAATGTTTGGACTAGATTTGCAAAAACTAATTGACGGAAAGACAAATAATAACTAAATAACTATATTTTGATGATCAATTTGACCTTTTTGACAGTTTCTTAATATGTTTGATTTGAAAATAAAAGCAAACTTCCTCATGAGCTTCTTAAATAAAGACCAAACATAAATTGGCTGTTGAGAAAAATGTCTTTAGAACAAAATAATAGGTGAGGTCAACTTAAAATGATGGATTAAAATAAATCACTTTTTTATAATTCTTAATTTATTTTAGTGAAGTAAACTTGGATCGAAAACTAAATTCCGGTCGGGTTTAAGTCAGATTCAGCTTATTTTCTGTCATGGCTCAGTAAAATCCAAACAAAAATGTTTGGAATGGACGGCAACATTATCTAAGTATCTAATCTAATGGATAAATAATCATTATTTTGAGTTTTTTTATCTACTTTTTTGATTATCATTTCATAATTTTTCTGATTTTCAGCTTCTCCAGGGTGAGGATTTGTTTCTTTGTCCTTTTTAAAAGTATATTGAATGTGTTTCAAAAATACAGGCAAATTTAAAAACATCCTTGTGAGCTTCTCGCAATAGAGACCAAACACTGTAACACTAATGAAGAGAAAAATGTTGCTTTAACTGAAGCTGACAGTCGACCATCCAGAGCTGCAGCACTTTTGTTCCTCTCTGCATCCTGAGAGGATTCTGCTGCGCTCCACAATCCTCTCCGCAACAGAGCTGAATACAGCATTAATTAAAAGACTGCAAGTGGACAAATTGGTGGAGGGGAAACCTCACAGTCATGCTTATCATCTACTATCTGGAGGTTAAATCCAAGTGCACATGATGCACTGATTCGCCACCTTTCTAAAACATCCTTCCTGTGCTTTGTATCAGTTTGTTATCGTCACATTAATGACTCATCAATACATGTTACTGACTCGACTTCTTCCCAGGAGTCCTTGTGCATTAGAGAGTGGATCAATTACAACCAGATTGCTTAAGTATACAAAATGCCTACTCACATATAGTACTATTACACAGAGTACCTCTATCATTAAAATTGTCATTACTGCTCCCTTCATCTCTGGCAGACATTTTATTTTGTAGAAATACTTTAAACATTGACACACCACTCCATTTATGTTAGATGCTGTGTTTCCTTCTGAATGTTGTAAATGTTATTGTGTTAATGAGCTCATCTATATGGGACATCTATAGCGCTTCTGTCCGTCCTATAGGAGAGGGATCCCTCACATGTGGCTCTCTCTGAGGTTTCTGCATGTTTTTTAACACCATGATTTTTTGAGGGTTAAGGACAGAGGAAGTAGCACCTTGTAAAGCCCTATATGAGGCAAATTGTGATTTGTGAATATGAGCTATACAAATGAAATTTGATTGGTTGAAATATGAGCAGCTTGTTTTATTTTTTAAAACAGTCAGTGGCCATGTCAAATCATTTCTTCACTCCACTGCTTGTGTGAAGGGGTCAGCTCAGATGATAATATTCTGTTTGTCCCCTGAGGGCAAATCTGTAACTAATCACAAATTGCACCGCCCTCCCATCAAAGCTCATTTATCTCAAAAGACAAGTTGCTGACTTATCATGCCTCTCAGTGGATTTTCCTAATGACATATCTAAGAAAAATGAGATACCATTGATCACACTTTTCTGTTTCATCTCGTCACATTGTGAATCCATGTGTGCATCTCTGAACTCAATGTGCAGCAACATAAATGTTCTCAGCACGAGGCTGGAAAAAAAAAGCTTCTGATCTTTACTTCAAATTCTTGCATGAAAACAATTTTCTTTTAAAAACTCCTCATTACATTAGCATGGAGGCCGAGAATGCAGTGGGTTGGTAGGCAGCCCTCATTATGTGGTAAGTCTGCAGTGCTCCAGGCGTATCATGGCAGCCCACTCACTGCTGATTGGAAGGAGGCACTTTCCTCACGGGTGCACGACTCAGTGAGTTTGTGAGGAGGACGAGGACCAAACAGAGCTCGGCTGCAAATTAAAGATAACTACCACGAACGTCAAAGAAGAAAGCGGCGGGTCAAAGAACACAAGGAGCCTGGAGCTTCACAAAAATATATTTCATATAAGCACATGTGTTCAAATGTCGCACCTTTGTCATTATGTTTTACTGCTAATCCACAAACTAATCAGCTGAGATGAGACTTAAAATTCCTTTATGTCTAACACACTTCCATAACAACAGCCCAAGAGGAAACACATCTCTTCTCACAGTCTCTTCAATAATTCAACTGAAGGATTTTTTTGTATCTAAATATCTTCACACGAGCTGTGAGACACCGCAAACAACCTCTGCACATGGCAGCGCACGTTCTTATGTAACAAATTTCCACTCCTCCTGCAGAAATTGATCGCAGTCGAGTACATATAGTCTAAACGTGCATTAATAACCTCCCTCTTTTGCATTTTACACTCCATTAAATGGAGATGGGGCGCATGAATAAAAAAGTAAGAGCTAAAACATTTCCCTGTTTGCCAGCGCTGCCTTTCATGCAGAGCTGGATGCTCCATGTTTATCCCAGAAGACCTTGGGTGTCTTTTGAAGTAAAGAGGGGATTTAAATGTAACAGTGTAACACATTAATCAGACGTAATAGTGACATGTTTGCAGGGGGGAGGCATTAAATTCACATTGGGTGCAAATGTGTTTTCAAGTGACACCTGAGGCCATCTACTGAATAGCAACTTTATTTCTACTGCAAAATTGCAATATTTGCATGATATTTCGTGGAGATGAGCACTGCATGGTGAGCAGAGTTCATCCTGCAAACTCCAGTCACACCACAAACCAAAAAAATATGCAGCTGCCCCTGACCTTGGTTATTTGAGTCCATTCTGTGTGGATCTCTCAGGGATGACAACAAAACAGAAAGATAAGATCCAGCTTGGTCACCTCAATCCCCTCAGAGCTGAAACAGACTGCCTGTCTGAGCACAGCCATCAAAACTGTGCCTTTTTTTCCTCTGCATCATATTTGTGTGTCTCATTTTTTATTGTGTGCAGTTGAGACTTAATTAGCCATATAATATCCAATTAGCTGTGCATTTTGTTTACTCACCGTTTTTGTCTGCCCGGCGGAATATCTGCAATTAAAGAAGATCATGTTTAGATGTTTAGCTCTGGAGTATTTGCACTAAGACAAAATATAATTTGGAGCAATTCAAATGAAATACAGTGTCTTTGTGCAGTAACAAAAGCTTGCATATGTGTAGATATATATAAAAGAGATCAAATACAAAACACATGCAAGTTAGATTGTTGTTATTGAAGCAGTGATGTAATCTAACCGATGTGAGGCAGTCCATCTATTATATTATTTTATACATTTCTCTTCGTGTATCCACAGGACTACATTAAGAGGTGCTGCAGTTTCCACATTTAAAAAACAAAAGAGACCTGACATGAGAAATCTCAGGAAATGAGACGTGACATTTGAGTGCATCAGAGAGAAGCGTTGGAACGATTCCTTTCTCTCTGAGCACTGAAAACGACCGCGCCCTTTTAAGATATATTTTTACATGGTTTTGATCAAAACCTGCACGAGCAGGAAGCTTTCTCTCATTTGACCAGTGAACGCTGCAATAGAAGCATTAATGAAACCTGAACCTTTGAGAAGTCCCATCTGTTTGTGGAGTGTGAGGTATCATGTGTGAGATCAGAGTGGCAGCTCTTTCTTCTTTTTTTATTTCTGCTCCATCACCAATCACGTGTGGACCGATAGAGTCCAGTGGCTGTTTGATTAGTGAGTGGAGCGGTGCACTCACTCATCCAGCTGTCACCTCTCAGGCATATTGAGGACCTGAACACACTCTGCTCAACATCCCTCATCCACTCAAGACATCTAAGACTCCCAGAAAATCCATTCCAGTAAGAATAGCACTGTACAAGTATACACCACACAAAATATGGCATTGAATTTGTAAGTAACCTGTAAGTAACCTGTCCTATAAATTCTAATCCAGAGTAAACTTAAAGGAAATCAAGTATATATGCTCTGGATGTATTAAATGCAGAGTGCACAGAATATTTTGCAAATAATTTATATGGGGTGTATTGATTAATTAGACTCACTGTGAAAGTGAAAGTCTGAATTAATATACACCATTACTCTGATGTTTATACAGTTTAAGGACAGATTTATTTGAAAAGTCAGCATTGAGAACAACATACATTTAACAAAACATAATCCAGACTTAATATTCACTATGATGGATTAACTCCAGCTAAAACTGAATATTTGGTTCCTAAATGGTTGTCACCAAGATATATAGGCTACTGAATTGGACAGTAGAGTTGAAAACATATATACTTCTAACTATAACTCTTAAATGCTATCAGTCAATAGTATTTAGGACCAATAACATCTATAAACAACACAAAATCAGTGACAAAAGTATGACTCACATAGATAAAACAATAGAAATCAAGTAAATGAGTGTGTGAGTGAGGGTTAGTCTGTATAATGAATGTTAAATGAATTTTACCTGTAAGCTACAGGAAGAACCATTCAGATGCTTATTCTTGTCAACAGATTTAACTTCAGCTAAAGACATATTTTCAAAACCTTTCTTTGGCATTTGTGTGATGAGCACGGATCACAACTTCTGAATGCAGTTGATGGGATTGAACCTGGAGGCTGAACTGTCGCCGTAAATCCTCCTCTAAAACACAGAAGTGCTGATGTGGGCATCCTGTCTAAAAGGCATCAGAGGAAGTCAGCAGGGAGTCGCTCCATAAAATGTGGGAAACTAAATGAGAGCAATAAACATCCGTCCAGGAGAAAACCTGAGGAGTGGAGATTTACTGGCCTTCACTCCTCCTTTGTGCTGCTAAGTGAGCGGGTCTGCTCCCACAGAGCTGATGAAGATCTTCTAAGAGCAATACTAGTTAAATGGCGTGCTGCTCGGCTGTAAGTCCTATCTCAGCGGGTCCCCGGGGCCAGTGATATGCCACACTGAGTCCTATTGAGCACCTTAGAACTATGGCACCGAGGAGCAACCCGCACTGCGAGGACATCTCCAGCATCTCAGCTACACGAAACAGCACTAAAGGACAGCACAGCTTCCCGTCAGCCTCTGAAGATCATTATCTCAGAATTGGCAGCAAAATGACTCTCAGGGACGTTAAAAGCTTTATCTTCTTCAAGTGAGCAGTAATGAGCAGAAGGGAAAAAACACGAGAATTTTACAGAGAGAAATTGGAACACATGAAGATCATTTCTTTTTCAGGAAGTAAACAAATATAGAAAGATTGCAGTGGAAAGGTATTTTAGTGAGATCTCACAAGAATAAATGATTATCCACTCTATCATAAGAAATGCAGCATTGGGCTGCAGAACAGATCCTAAATGCATTTAAACCAAATTGCTGCAGTCTGATGTTCCGTTTGCCAATAATCTGCCTGAAGGGGAAACAGAATTTTATTTAATTTTAGTTATTTGTAATATTATCATTCAACTATATAGAATTATACTGCATGCACGCATTAGTATTGCTATATGGAGGTACTGCATGTTCATGCAGCTGAGTGTGTAATCCAACCCTCTCTCAACTGCATGTGCAATATAATGATTAAATAATTCAAACTATAAGATCTTTCTATTTTTACTGTTTATGAAGGGGAGGCTGCTCATTAGAAATATACATGACACCACCTCATGTTTTATTCAGACAATAAATGACGTTTCATCATCCAGGGTACACCACCAATGTCATGACCCTTATTATCATATGAGAGAAAAACGGAAGTAAAATGCGTAAAAACGTAGAGAGAATCAGAAGCGTGTGCGTGTCAGACGACGGGCACGTCTTTTGTTATTCACGCACGATCAGGCGCTCACCTTTCTAACATAATAGGGCTACTGTACATCATGCGTTCAGGTCAATCATTCATAGAATAAGAGCAGAACGGAGGAGACTCGTGGAGACACCCGTGCGTAAAATGAACCAAATTTCTAAACCGTGCAGCACATTCAAAATAAAACGACCACAGTGTGATGGCTGGAGCTGTGAAAGTGCAGACTTACATCATGGAACATAGAGGTGCCTTGGTTTTGGTTGTGGTCCAGCTCCTGCTGCCTCCTCAAGTGTTGGTGCTTTGCAGATTGGAGACACATGGTGATCATCTCTGTGCACGCCAGCATTGTTGCTTCTTTCGATGAGATCCCTAATTTTCAGATTGTGTCCCCGTGATGTGTTGTCCTTGTCAGGGTGGATGGAGGGTGTTGGTGCTGTGATCCAGTGAGGATGAGACAGAGCCCTGATGCTGATGCTGCTACCCGCCTCTCTCTCTCTGCTGCTGCTGCTGCTGCCCGGTGCCCAACGACGTCTGCACGTCGTCAGCAGAAGAAAAAACTGACAACTCCGCCTCTACACGAGCAGCAGCAGCAGCAGTGGTACATGAAGAGCCTGAGGAATGCTCCATCTGCTGGTGAGGACACACACACGCACACACACACACACACACAGTGTGGGATAAACAGTTCATAAGAGAATATGCTGTTGAAAAAATTAAAAGGACAGGCAGTGTTTATATTCTGAAATGACTTTAAAATACTTCTCGGATGATTCAATACTCCCATTATTTTCCAATGAACTTTTTTAAGAACAATAATTGTTGAATTTTTCAAAAATACAAAGCAGATTGTAACACAGGGATAAAATATCAGTTCAGATGTCAAGTTAATTTATGTCATTCCAGCCATCGAGCAAAACATATAGTGGAAAGAAATTCATGTCTCTAATCTAACTGCCTTTATGTGTAGATGGAGTTTTTTCATTCATGGGGGTGCATGAATAATATTTTTTGATAATATACAATAACAAATACTTCAAAACAATAACGTCAGCACCTGATTATGCACTCAGATGTGTCACAAGAGGAGGACTGTTGACTAATAAACATCAGCATCTGTTTACGGCTATATTATTGTGCAGTTGGACAATGCAGCATTTCTACATTTAACAACTCAGACATCAAAATGAGACGTCGATCACTGAGTCATGAAACATGGCAGAGCATGTCAGAAAACTTTATTGGAAGCTTATCAGCATCTCTGCACCTCCCATAGAGACACATGCACACGACTCTGTGGGTGGCCCTGCACACTGCCACCCATATGACACCTCTGAGGGGGGGGAGCCCAGCTGATTGCATAATGCACTTGGACTAAATGACCAATAACTGTTGACACTCTCCGACCATCTGCTTATTTGCTGTTTAGAAGTTCGTCCTCAGTGCAGGTCAACAGGTGAGCTTCCTCAAAGTTTTCACTTCTCATCATAACTAATTCAATATTTTCATTACCGTTGTTATTAGAATGTTTATTACCATTATTTAAAATGTAAGTAACATTGTGGTGGCACTCATACAAATGTGTATTAGCAGTTGTTATTTATTTTGTATGGTATTTATGTATTTATTCATGTAGTGGAGGACATATCATGCATTTACTGCCTTTATAAATAATGAGCATGGATTCAAAAGGTTTAGATAATCATTATACATGTATATAACAGTCCATAGATCATTTAAGGACATGTAGTGTTGTTTTTCTCAGCCTATTCTTAGTTGCATGTTTACAATAAAAACTGGAATAAAGTTTGACCTACTTGTTGTATCTATGACTTTGGTGTTTGACAGAACGTCAAACAATAACATCTGACCACAAGAGGAATACACAGATTCTAAGAATTGCCTTATCTGCTCACCGCAGCCGATAGTCAGGGCAATGATACGGCCAGGCCTCTGTTTCTAAACTCAACTACCCATGGAGGAGCTCGTCAGCAAATTAAAGTCTGGATGAAGCGCATGTTTTATTTTGGCGTCATTCATTCAGCGGCGTTAATTCAGACAGAATCCGGCTTTGTTTCATGGAGGAATATTTGATAGCTGCTCTGCAGTGATCAGCCTCAGCTGATGACGTCTGTCAGGGCCTGCAGGGTGAAGATAACCAGCAGCAACCTGCCGCACCCTGGAGGAGGCACCTGCTGCTCCCTGGAGTTAAACTGGACCACCTCCTTTTTTTTTTTTTTACATTTTAACCTTGAAAAGTATGATGGGATTTTAGTTTTATGAAACTATTTGGCAAGCTCAGTCATCCCTCTGTAAGTTTATATTTTGGTTACCTGCACTGAGACTTTGGAGGCAACAATTTCTTAAGGAAAAATATATAAGTATAAAGTTAATACTGTTTTACACATCCTAAATGCAAGGCAAGTTTATTTGTATGCTACATTTCAACAACAAGGACATTGAAAATGTATTACATTAAATATAAAAGGCATTATGACAAATTTTAAAAGCAGCTTTAAGAGAATACAACAAAGGATAATTTAAATAAATTTGAAAAGTTCCATAGAGAATAAAGAAGATTTTTTTTTAAATGAAATAAAAGAGTGAGAATAACAGTGCAGTGTAATAAATTATATAATTATTTGTATTTAATAAAAGGCAGAGGAACTGAACGCTGCATCTCTATGTTGTGACCCTTTGAGACTGTACAGAAAGCAGACCTGTTCCAGATGGCCTGAGGGGTCTGGATGGGTCATAACGTATCATGACGTAGCACGATATAAAAAATATGTTTTGTCCCTAAAGAATTTAATTTAATGCTTTATAAACCTACAGCAGGATTTTGAGGTCAAATCTGCTGAACAGACTGATCTCAGAGCTGCAGTGATATGAGACACTTCCTTTATGTTAGTGAAGACTCGAGCGGCAACATCTAGAAACAACTGCGTCTTTCTGATCTATATTTTAGAGAGACTGTGAACACTGAAGATAAATGTGTGGACACATTTTTTCAAATCTTTTTCAGACATAAGTCCTTTAATCCTCAATATGTTCTTAAAGGGATAGTTCACCCAAAAATGAAAATTAATTAATTATCTACTCACCACTCTGCCGATGGAGGTGGCGGAAGTGTTTGAGTCCACAAAACACTTTTGGAGTTTCAGGGGTAAACAGTGTTAGAGCCTAATCCAATACAATTGAAGTAAATGGTGAACACTTCTTCAAAAGTAAAAAAACCCAAAATGCTTCCATTTACTTCTATTATATTGCATCTGGTTGCACCAATGAAATATGTTTTACAGATAAACTGCAGATGCTGAACTATTTTTCATGTCTTAACTCAGGGCTAGAACAGCTGCAGTACCATGGCTGCCTTCCTTCACCACTGCCCCTTCTTGAAGTCCGTGCCTAAGACAGCTTTACGGAGGACAGGAGCCTCCCTGCTGTCTCTGGCTGATCAGTGCCCCATCATCGTTCGCCAGATCACCGTGGGCGGCTCGGCCTCCCTGGACACCAAGCTGAGCGATTCACCCACAAAACTGTCAAAGAGTCACCTTCTTCCCACAGTGAACCAAAGGATGATGGCAACTCAGGTGGCTTTGTCCGTGTCGAAGGATTGCCCTTTTGTGTCCTCTCAGATTGGGATGGTCGAAGCCAGTCCTGAAGTGCAGGAGGATGTCAAAGGTCAGAGGAAGTAGTGATGCTGCAGTGAACATACACAACACCATGAATGACTGAAGATGAACTTTAAAGTAGCAAAGGTTAAAAATACCAACTTGGTAAACTGACAGAGCTTCTTCTCCTCTCTCACAGGTTTGATGACATCTCTGTTCAAGGGTTTGAAAGATTCAACCCTCCCGACATCACTTCAAACCACCACCACCACCACCACCACCCATCTCCTTAAAGACAACATGGGTATGTTTCTACATTTAAAAAGAGCCGGAAGCCTCCAATCCATCTCATTTAATGCAGCAACGCCTTGTACAACATTTATATTTGCTTAATCAGATGTTTAAAGTCAAACTCATCAACCTTGCAGTTGGTCCCAGCTACGACTACGACCACTTCTTCATTGAGAAGATAGGCGAGAAGAAGAAGGACCACACCTACAGAGTCTTCAAGACAGTGAACAGGAGCGCAGAGGTCTTTCCTTTCGCAAATGATTACTCCATCTGTGGGCGGGAGGGCTCCCAGGTGTCCGTCTGGTGCAGCAACGACTACCTGGGAATGAGTCGGCACCCGCAGGTCCTCGGTGGCATCAGGTACAATAAGACAGATGAAAAGTCTTTTGAGGAAAGTCCACAGGAAGTCTCAAGTCAGTGGAGATGAGGTCAAGTTAAATCCTAGGGCTTGTCAAAGAAAGTTAAAGGAAAGTAAAGAAGTAAGCTGCAAGTCATTTGGAGGTCTGGCTCTGTATTTCCTTTCAAAGTTGTGTTAAAAGTGTATTTATATATATTTAGTAGAGATCAGGCCTTTTAATACATAGGGATAATGACCTGTCTGTCATTGACTAATTTAAAATCATACCAGGTCTTAACTAGAGACTTGAACTTTTCTGTCATGTCTCAAGTCAAATCAAGGAGTAAAATGTCATGTTAGTAATTCAAAGTTGACTCTATGGCTCTAGCAAAAAATAAAAAAGCAAACAAGTAAGTTGAAGTGGAATCGAGCCATTGCCCCATTCAGTAGCAGATGTACGTACATGTGGGGTTCAGTCTGAATACCAGATATTTATATTCACAGGGTTCCGTGTGAAGCACCTTGAATGGTTATTATGTTATGTCATAACATTTAAAAGAATGTGTCAGGACACCTTTCATGGCCTGGATTTTGTGAGGCTGGTGTTTTATTTTTCATTTTGCTCTGGATCCCCTCAGAGATGCTCTGGACAGACACGGCGCAGGAGCCGGTGGGACCAGGAACATCTCAGGCACCAGTAACTTCCACGTGTCTCTGGAGAAGGAGCTCGCCCAGCTGCACCAGAAGGACGCAGCTCTGGTCTTCTCCTCCTGCTTCGTGGCAAACGACTCCACCCTCTTCACCTTAGCTAAAATGCTGCCAGGTAAATATAGATGAGATAAGTTAAATTTAATTGATCCAAGACGGGGGATATTCACTTGTTACAGCAGAAGAAGTCAGAATGAGGTAGATAAGAGGACATGAAATAGGCAATAAAATACAATAAGAAATAACAATACCAGGAATATTTACATAATATACAATTTTCACTGCAGTAGGAAATATTATTTGTACAGAAACACACTCTAAAGTTAAGTACTACTTCAGATGAAGACAGTTAGGTATGACAAGTCACTTTCACATTTCAAGATGATCTGTAATTATATTCCGAGACTCATATGCTAGACAGAAATAAATCCATCTCATGATTCATACATTATAGAGATATATATATAAATCTCAGGTTGGATGCTCTATATCCACTGGTTTGTTGTGTTCTCTGTGACGTGCAGGATGTGAGATCTACTCAGATGCAGGGAACCATGCATCGATGATTCAGGGCATCAGGAACAGTGGAGCAAATCGCTTCATCTTCCGCCACAATGACAGCCGACACCTGGAGGAACTGCTGCGGCGCTCAGACCCCAACACTCCCAAAATAGTGGCCTTTGAGACTGTGCACTCGATGGATGGTGAGTGCGATCATGTGTTAGGAAGCAGTGAAAGTAGAGATTGTTTAGATTTACCATATATTGAACATTGAGTTAAATTTATAGGGGATGAATCTACTTGAATATATCTTTACAAGGAGGAGTGAACTGTACGATCATTAAGATCAAACTGAGAAACCACTGCTGCAGGGAAAATGTAAATTAACCAATTCATTTTTCTATTTTCGGTGACCTAACCTTTATTTACTAGTTGTTCCCATAGTTTGCTTATCTCCTTCAAGGTTTTTCACTGGGCTTGTCCTGCAAAATTAAAAAAAAAAAGGAAAAATTGGGCTGTTCTACCACTTTTGGCCGGTCGTCTGTTTCTATGATCTACAGCTATTCAGTTTGCAGAATCTGCTCATCCATCACTGGCTCCCATGGGAGGAAATAATGTTTCTCCCTCAGCTTTTTCTCTCCATCTGATATCACACCAGTGACAGCTTCATAAAGTACAAGCACAAGTGGACTGAGCGGATGGCTGTGACTATATCCAGGAGACTTTTAATAGAAAAAAGTAATGATTCATAGAGAAAAAACATCCTCATCTGGCTATAATACACAAATATGTGTTGTAGATTTTACACAGTGGTGACATTTGCAGCCCAAATCTCCATCTGTTCACCTTCACTCCACATTTCTAATTATACCACTTCATTCTCTGGGGCTGTCAGGTGCCATATGTCCTCTGGAGGAGCTGTGCGATGTTGCTCACCGTTATGGAGCTCTGACGTTTGTTGATGAAGTTCACGCCGTGGGCCTCTATGGACTCCACGGAGCTGGAGTGGGGGAGAGGGACAACGTCATGCACAAGATTGACATTGTGTCTGGGACCTTGGGTGAGTAAATGATGAAGAAAACCCAGTGTTTTGAGTTATGAAAGACATTAAAGGCACACTCTCTCACTGATAACAATCACACCAGTCGTCCACCACCCTTCACTGCTACACCAAGAAGGGCAAGGCAAACGGCTTCAAACTGCCGTAGATTAATTGGCTCTCCTCTTGGCTAAACTCTAGTTCACAACCTCACACAATGTCCTCATATCGCGGCATTGCCACTCAACAAGCATGATGCTGCTCTCCTACTGGTTAGATAGAGGGCAGGAGAGGAGGGAGCTCTCATCAAAAGAAGCAGAGGTTTTATCAGCTGGGTGTCAGCTCTGCTCCCTCTCTGGCCACACTGATAAAAGCCATCATCACAGAGTCCATGCTGCAAGGTTTATCCCTGTCAACCACACGTCACGTTTCATCTAATCCTGGATGACACCACCAGACTTTAGAAAGGCATGTGGATAAGAGTTCACTTCAGGCAATACATAAAGCAAGAGGCCCCAAACGGTGATGACAAATTGACGGTGGCATATTGTCAAGACACAAAATTCACTGTTTGATTTGATATTATGGCTATTTCATGACGTGAAGAAGAAAAATAACATGTTAATCATTCCTGAAGTCATTTTTCTCTTGGGACTTCAAAAAGTGAGGGTTTAATCTCACTATAAGCAGCTGAGATAAAAGTCATTAAAATACTTCACAAACAATTATGTGGTGTTTAAGTCCACTAACTTATAGCAGCATACTACATACAGACAAAATGATGTTAATGATATATTCAAGATAAAACTACTCCCGCAGAATTGTCATTTGTCATGTTATTGTATTGGTTGACTACATGTATTTTGTCAGAACAAGTGATATTATACAGTATGTATATTGGGTAGTAGTTTAATCTAATCTACATTATGTTTAAAAGTAAAATATTAAGTAAATATGTGGTCTGTTTGTATTCCAGGAAAAGCATTCGGCTGTGTGGGAGGCTACATCGCCAGCAGCAATGCCCTAGTGGACACAGTGCGCTCCTTCGCAGCAGGCTTCATCTTCACCACTGCTCTGCCTCCGATGGTCCTGGCTGGAGCCCTGGAGTCTGTGCGGGTGCTGAAGAGCCCTGAGGGGCAGGGACTACGCAGAGCCCACCAGAGGAACGTCAAATACATGAGGCAGCTGCTCCTGGATAACGGGCTGCCTGTGGTCAACTGCCCCAGCCACATCATCCCCATACGGGTACGAGGACCTAACACTGCTGCTGCTTATTGTATTATCTCTCTTAGGGAAGTCCACCTCTCACCTAACAGAAGCAACAGTTAAAGCTTTGGCAAGATTTCCAAGTTCTCTCCCGAGGAAACAAACATTTTTAACTAACCTTGTGACTGTCAAAGAGAATTGTTTCAAAATTGAAAACAAAAATCATAATTAATAATCAATTGGCAATTTTGATATTCTGTGTATATGCAAAATACGTCTACCCTCAAGATTATGATGTCTAATAAATCTATAGTAACATAACACCAAATTTCATCGAGATTCATTGACTATTCTTGGAGAACTCAACGAAAATGTGGAAAAACACCCATCATGCAATATTAAAGAAAGTGAAAAAAATCCTGGATCTGCACCTAAATTGAATGGGTTCGTCCATGACCCATATCACATCCTTACAAGTTTTGTGGGAAATCTGTCCACTAGTTTTTTTGCATAATCTTGCTAATAAACAAACAAATAGGTGTGAAAACATAACGAAATAATGAAAAACACAGAGCCACCATAAATGATATTAGTGAGATCTGCACTTTTCCTTCTAGGACAAATCAAAAGGTGTTGTTTGAAAAGGGTCAAACATATTTTTTCTTTGACTCAACAAGTACAGCACAGAACATATGGATGTTGAAGTGCACTACTTTCTCTGTGTTTAAATATAATTCATCTTGTACATTTTAGAAAAAAATATATACAACATTTTGATGGTTATTACTAAAATCCACCACTTAAATATCCAGTCATAACCAAATATCTGAGTCTAAAATTAAACTGGTGTATTTGTATCCCAGTAATCACATTAATGTCTATATGTGTAACCTGATTGTGCAAAGTTAATGTCACATTTCATGGGTCTGTTTCCCAGGTGGGCAACGCTGAGCTGAACACAAAGGTGTGCGACATCCTGCTCCAGAGACACAACATCTATGTCCAGGCCATCAACTACCCCACAGTGCCTCGTGGCGAGGAGCTGCTGCGCCTAGCTCCATCTCCTCATCACAACCCCACCATGATGGAGTACTTTGTGGGTAAGTGTGGGGATCCTGGCTCATATTAGTTGTTGTGGTAAATGTCAAATCAAGTGAAGTGGTGACTGTATGAGTGTGTATTTAGTGCATCCACCAAATACGGCAAGTTGTTGTCTCATACAGTGATCTTAGTGGGTACTATAGGTAAAGGAGCCAAAGATGGAATTGGCCCAACTGTGAGATACATTTTGCAATTTGTTTGCTAAATCATATTATTGTGTGTGTTTCACTCACAGATTCACTGGTGGAGGTTTGGCAGGAGGTGGGGCTCCAGCTCAACAGCCCGGCCACGGCTTCGTGCACCTTCTGTAACCGCCCGCTGCATTTTGACCTCATGAGCGAGTGGGAAAAGTCCTACTTCGGAAACATGGAACCACAATACATTACTATGCCTGTGTAACACCACAGTCTTTTCTCCACACATGAAACACAGTTAATGTATACATTTAATGCTATATTCTTAATTACAAAGTCCTGCTTCAAGTGCACTGAAATGAGTAGCAATGAATTAAATGTATTTGTTTTAAATTATTCTTTAACGTCAGCGGTATGAACTAAATTCCAGTATTCCTGATTTCCTGTTTTTATATACACTCAAATTATGCTTGAATATTATTAAAGAAAATTGTGCCTCTTGCGATTTTAAATAAACCCTGCACGTCAGGCACTTTCTTAAATCTTTAATCAGAGTGTGGTAGTTTGAAGTAAACCTTGCTATCTAATTTCATGTTGTGTGATTTTCTTCATGCCATAAAATCATCATGACCGTCATGTATTGTTTCCATTTCCACAATAATTCAATTAGTGATGTTACAGTCATCAAATGTATGAACAGTCAAAGGTCACTGCTTCATTAAATAAGGGATAATAAAAATCTATAAAATCTATAATTCACAGTTTGGATATTCAATGTGCTGTCATGCTGTGACTATAAAGATGTTGAATAATAAAACAAACACTGCTGTTCATGCAGTTCAGGCACTGACACGTTGGCTTCATTTTATAAACTCAGCTGGAGCTGCTGTGTCCTGTCTGATTCTCTGACTATCAACTCTAGTTGACGTTACAGGGGCTGGCCACTTCCCGTTTGACCTTTGCCCTCAGTCTGCGGAGCTCTGGGTTCTCACTGTCTACAGCAAGGCCACATTCAATCAATGTCCAGGCTTGGTTGAGTTGCTGCTCGCCATAGTGCTGCAGAGCCCCCCGCAGGAAGCACTCAGCCAGACGCAGCCTCCCCAGACCACCCTCCACACAGTGGATGGCCTGGTCCCTGTGGAGCTCCAGGGCCCGAGAGAAATCCTCCAGAGCCGCTCCTTCTCTGGAACAGAGCACCAGGCAGCGCCCTCGCCGACACAGGTCCTCCGCCCAGACTTGGTCATCTGAGCGGCTGGAGTTGGATCCACCATGTTTTTGGATAACGATGTCAAGGTCAGCTATCGCCCGCTCATGCAAGCCCAGCTGAGCTAGGCAGGCGGCCCGCTGGCGAAAATACTGGAGTCTGTGGTTGCCCACTGCTTTCACAGCTACAGTCAGGAGAGTGAGGGCCTGATCCCACTGGCCACCTGATGACACACCGCTGGCCTCCTGTGCTGCTGCCTGTTTTAAGATGGATGCAGAACAATTAATATGCTGTTAACAAATACACAGTACATAAGACATGAGGACATCAGGAGGTTCACAGAATCACAGAACAGCTCAGATGTCAGTGTGATTAGACTGAAAAACAACACCACCAAAGACAGCATGTAATTCAACATCATAACAAATGTTTATTAGGATAAACCCCTTGAGATGAATCACCTCATTTTCAAGGGGGTCCTTGATTTATTAAGTCTGTGTGAGAGTTTATTCTACAATCTCATAAATATACTGGACGGTACATACAAAACTGTCTACAACACAAACAATCCTAAGACTTGTTTTATGTTACAGTCTTAGTGACATGAATTGAACATATTATGATCCAAACTGCTTTATTTAATTCAATATATTTATCAGTTTATTTGAAACAGTGAATTATCCTGCTCTCTGTCAATCTAAAAGAAGACATTTGGGTACATTTTACCTCTCTAATGAAATGTCTCTGAAGCTTAATGATAAAAGTAATTTTTCGAATAATTTCAGAACACATCCTGTGCCTTTGATTCTCATTCTTAAAACTGATTCCAGCACAGAGGCCTACCTGTGCCATGTGCTTTCGCTGATTGAATGGGATCAGGGCCAGCAGGAAGTCCAGACTGGACGGGTCTTTCTCCGTCAGTTTGCTGAGCCTGAATGCTGCGCTGCGGTAGCTCTGTTGCCAGGCCTCCACCACACCCACCCTGGCCTGGGCCGTTGCGTCTCTTGGCTCCTGGCCAAACACCTGGCACAGATGAGCGCCTGCAGCCTTAACTTCACCTGAGGCAGATGGACCACATCAGCAGGAGTAAGGATTACTGTAAACAAGGATTGCCAGCTTCAGGAGTTCTTTTATTTAACTCCCACCATTTCCAGTGACTCCAGGTTCCCATCTCACCTTTGGCTAAGAGCATGTCCACGTAGAGGAGATGCCATCTGGGCTCTCTGCAGTCAGTCCTCATCAGAGCTCTGCTGATAATGAAAGCTTCTCTGAGCTGCTCTTCGTGGCAGGGGACGGCATTAGTGACCAGCATGTCTGACAGATTGGTCCGACAGAACTGATGCAGCCAATCACAGACCAGCTTCTGTGCCTTGTCCTTGAGAGACAGGATGTCTTTGGTGACTATATCAGTGTTTATCTGAAGTGCTGCCAGGATATCATGAGTGCATTCCTGTGGAATAGAAAAAGGCCAACAGCGGCACCAGACAATTTTGTGTAAAGCTACATCTGTCTGAAGAAAACAGGATCCTGCAACCTGAGATCCTGTAAATCCCATTTGCTCAAGCCTTCTGTAGTCTAAGCATGTTTGTGTCTCTGCCAACGTGATTGATTCGTTTTCTGCAATTTCTTTCCGACCCACGTTGATCATGATAACTATGATACTGGCAGTTTACAGAAGTAAACATTGGGACTCCTGAAATTGAACTTATAAAGCCATTACCAATTACTGGAAAGTTGCCTGGGAAAAAAAGAAAAATAAGAGTAAAGTCTACCAGGCACATGAAGCAGTATTTACAAAGTGTTTCAGCTGAAAATACCTTTTGCTGATTCAGCATGAGATAGGTGAAGCCTCTTCCACAGAGGGCCTGGATGTGTTTTGGGTGCTCCTTCAGAATGGCACTGAAATCAAAGATGGCCGTCTTTCGTTGACCCAGCAGGGCATAGCACCTAGCTCTTTCCAACAAGGAGTTAGCTGCCTCACCACCTTAAGAAACAACGAGTTGATTGTTTTCATGGTATGTATGATATTATTACATCCATGAAAAAGTACAGATCCAAATGCAAAGAGAAGCAGGTATGATATGTATTGAAATAGCTTGAGATTTCTAGGCTTCCACACATGTTGTCTTGATGGTTTAACAATGCAAAGCCAACCTGCCTTGTTTGTTTTCACAAACATCTGCTGTACTGAAGCCAAATCTAGACACAAAGCTTCACTTCTCTTTATCTCTTCATCATCATTCCTCTAATCTATATTCAAATATTACCTGCTGTTGATTAATTAAGTCAACAATCAGAATAAGACCATTTAGAATCGTCAATATTTCATCAATCATATTGTAATCACCGGATGCCATGATGGCGATGGACAGATAAGCCACAGCCTCTCTGACAGCACCCTCCTCTCTTGTGGTGTCCAGGATGCGTTTTGCGACTGAGTGGCAGTGTCCTTGCAGCAATGCACGGTCCCTCTGCTGCGCCACCACTAACAGGGAGCGCAAGCAGCTCGTGTCACCGCACTGAATGAGCTTTTTCAGCAGCTGCGGTAGAAATGGACAAATATGAATATGTTATCTCTTACACTGCAAAAGCTGTTAAACTAAGGAACACAGATATTAAGCTAACTGATGTTATTGCATTCCTTCAGAGTAATGTACATTATGAACAATGTTGTTCAGGTCAACTGATTGTTTGAGATTTAGACTAAACAGTCAGTATATGTGACAACACCAGCTATTCAAAACCTTGAAATGACCTCATGGTTAATCAAGGCTCATCTAATTTACAGTTCATCCAAATTAAAGTGTCTATTAATTCTCAGAAGACATGATACTCAAATGAAGATAAAGTTTCAATGGATACTTAAGAATTTACTTTATGCTGAAGGATTCTCTTAAATGTATTAATCAAATTAATTCATACTGAATACTACTCTGATGTTTCTCACATGTGCTGGACCGCTCTGTAATTCATCATGTTTCTGTAGTTTATCAAGGTATAAAAACGTAAATTCAAACTGAAACAGGCTTCACTGCAACTTGCATTGATATAAAAATGCCAATGCAATGCAATGTAACAGATAAAAAGGTTTTAAAATTTAGAGAGAAGACGCCCTGGATTAGGATGAGGATTCTGCCCTGCAATACAAACCTGATTGGTGTCATAAAGAAAGCCTCTGTGCAGCTGCAGCAGGGCAAGGCGAGCCAGAATGGGTGCTCGAGGACTGGTGGGCCCGACAGAGAGCAGTAGCCGGTAGGCTTCCTCCACCCGACCAAGTTGGTACAAGGCATCAGCTGCCAGGATCTGAGGCCCATCAGCGCCTGGCTGGAGCTCCATCAGCAGCACTGCCAGGGCCTGGACTCCAGCAGGATTCCTAACGCTCAAAATGGGACAAAAAAGGTGCTGCATGAAGCAAATGCAATAGTTTAAGTGAGTTGAGATGTTAGCAAACTGGGAAAGTTGTATAATGAAATGTGAAAATGTCTCTTGTCAAAATCACAAACATAATATACCCTGATCTGTGGTTGTCTCTTTTTGACGAGGCCTTATCCTCCTGCTGAGTCTGCTGGGAGTCTTCACTGGATCTGGGATTGGATTCACTCTCTCCAGTCCCCTCCAGCATGACTCGTCCCTGCTCCACTAAAACAGTGAAGAGCAGCCCCCGGCAGTTCCATGGCACCAAGCAGCGTACAGTCAGTGCTGTTTCTTGAGGCTGAAGCCTGCTTGCTGTCACATAGTCTAGAGCTGTGAGATAGTTTGAGCCACCCATCATGCGCAGGAGCCCTCTGCCACAGAGTGCCCGTACACAGCTGGACGGGTGGGGGGCATTGTGTTCAATCACAGCCTGGAAGTCTTCTAACGCCCCCTTATGGTCATCACAGAGAAGTCTTGCATACCCTCGAAGAACTTGCACTGTGTTTTGGTAGCTCTGCTGACCTTGGGCAGCCGCTAGCTGGCTACAGATAGAGAGGGCCTCTTTGTATTCCCCTCTGAGGAGAAGACAGTCAGCCAGTCGTACCCGCAGCTCTCTGCCTCCCCCGTCCGGCTGTAAATGGCACAGGGTCCGTAACTGCATGATGACAGGGTCCAGGAGTTCAACTCCTTCAGTGGACCGCAGGTCTGGACGGACAAGGACCCTCTCTCTGTAACCACACAGGCCCTTCTCTGCCTGCTGACGGAGATGATTGCGAGCAGCCATTCCTGTGCCGTGATTTGTGAAGAGCTTTTGAAAATATGTTCGGGCAGTGGCAGGATGAATCTCAAATGCTTCCCCCAGATCCCCACATGCCTCCGCAGTCCGTCCACCTGCTGAGAAGCAGGCAGCTGATCGACTGGTTAAGAGCCGAGCTCTCCTCTCCAGACTGTCCTGGACAGGCTTGTCTGCATTACTCGCTGACATTTTCTGGCAATGACCACAGTTCAGGAGAGCAGAGAACACTTCTGCACTGTCCCCAAACTTTCCTGTCAAAAAGAAATATGCTGCTTGAAGTTCCTGCACCTCTCTGTTAACAGGTGAGATAGCCAACAAAAACTCAATGATTACAGAAGTAACTTCTGCACTGAGCTTATTATCCTGTTTTGTCTTTACTGCCCACTCGCTGTTAAACACCAGGGAAGGATTTATGTGCAGTATTTGGGTAGTAAAGGCCTTGACTATTTTTGATAGATGCTGAGCCTGTCTGGATTTCACCAGGTTGACAATTTCTGATTTGTTTCTCTGGTAAGCTTCAAGGTAAAGCTTAATCCCCTTGATACTGTGAGGCTCTGCCAACAAGCAGGCCAGAGCACGAGTTATCTCCAAGAGCATTCGAGTAGGTCCTTCTGGGTTAGGGTTTCTTTTCACTTCAAGCAGAGCAGAGCAGCGGGCAAAAATCTCCTGGCAGCCATGCCCACCACTCTGAAGGAAGGACTCCATTTTGAAAATGGTGGCAGACAGATTGTTGGGGCATAGTGTGGACAGAAATACCGCGGCCAAGCCTTTATTAAGACCCTCAGCAGGCAGATTTTCGCCATGACCATCAAGCCAACTTTCCAGGGTATAGATCACTCCAGCCAGACAGGGCTCCTCCAGTTTCCGAACGTGGGACATGGTGGATGCAGCGTGGGTCCTGAAGGCCGACATGTAGAGAGAGGTAGCCCTTCCCAGCTCTCCAGCTTCCAGGAACTTGTTTCCATCCGCACACAGTTCTGAGACGTTGACTCCGGGTCGAAATAGAGTCGTCATGATCAGGCAGCACGCTCCTCTCGATCTGTTTCCTTCTCTTCACCTGGTCACAGTGAAGATAACATTGGTGTCACCATGATATTAAAAGCAAGACCTGCATTGCTCACAGCAGATATTTTTACTTTTCATAGCAGGAAAAGCACCGGTGTTACTGATGAAGCTTTGCATAAGATCAAACAGGAGGGCTATCTCTATGTCCCATTCATTCATAATTCTCTCTCACACACCCTGCATCTTCTAATCAGCTAACTGTTGGGTGTTTACACTAATCCGATCAGATTTCTGCCATGATCAGCCAATCATGTTGTTATGCCAAAAATCAAATCTGCTCTCCTCTCTTGTCGTCAGCTGTCATTTCAGGGATTCACTTTGAGCCTCCTCCACCCTAATCATCTCTGGTCTCCATATCCACTGTCCACTCATTTCATTCAGATCATCAACATCCTCGATCCCATCAACCGATACTTGGGTCTCATGGGGGGGGGGGGGTTCCTATACTGTGCGTAGCCTCACCCCCCTTTAAACTTTGATGACATCACAAGGGGTTTCAGCACCAAATGGAATCTCCTTTATATCCCATTACTTTGTTCTCTTATGGTACACCGCAATATACAGTATAATGTCCGGATTGAAATAATAACAATGGCTCTGTAAAGTCATGACAGTATGAAAACATACACAATACCAGGACCCTGAAACTCAAGCAGCTTGAGGAAGTTCAGCGATCATTGATTTTACAACACATGTACTTTTCCCACCATGACATGACGACATAAATTAAATGGAAAGAATCCTGGGTGATGTAAAGCAAACTCCATCAGTATTGACATACTGTATGAAAGCTAATTAAAAGCAATCAAAAGAATATGTTCACCTTTAATTGTTCATTTTTAAAATGGTAAATATAGAGAGAAGCACTGTGCAAAGGTTTTAGGTTCATATCAATCATGTTATACCAGCAGGGTGGTGTCTGATCGATCCCAAATTTATCCTCCTGCACAATGATCACAAACTTATACGGCTAGAGTCATACAGAAAAATGCAACATATGATGTAACCCCAACAGAGCCCTGATCTCAACATCATGAAGACAGTGTGGGATAACATGAAGACACAGAGAGAGAATTAATCCATCGGTCCATTCATCCATCAATGCATCCTGCCTGCTAATAACCAGAAACAAACTACGTTCAGATGTGGCTTTATGAGTTTACTGCGCTTTGTATGAAGCTACCAGACTAAAACTTTTTTTGTTTTGTTTTATAGCATCCTCACATTCAATGCAGAATATAGGTTTACAGTAACAAACCTGAAAATATTTTATTTTGTAGTATTCTATTTATTGTATTGCATTTACAAATTTAAGGAGATTATTCAAGGGAAGTATTAGTCAACTTCTCTTACACTGACAATAAATATAGGCTACAGTAGATGGTAAATATAACTGGTCTGCTGGAAATTAAACAAAGAAATAAATATATGTTTTTGTCTATAGCCCCTCCTGCCTGTGTGGAGGAGTTGTGACCCATAGTTCACTTACCTCGTGTGGCCTTTATTGTCAGAACCAACACAACTTCGCAACGCAAATTCAGACATTTCAAACATTTCTCTGAATGTCCCGACGACAGAAGGAGTCTGGACCAAAGACTGCGGCTGAGCCTCGTTTCTGTAATTCAATAGCTGTTGGTCAAAGTTGCCAGGACAACGCGGTGTCTGTGTCTGTCCGCTCATTCACCAAACACTGTCTTCCACAAATACTACAGAGGAGTAGCTTTGGTTAGTTTGAGTCGGTTTCATTTGTAAATAGAATTAAAAAAAACAAATTATCCTCACACGAGTGAACTCCCTCCGGCTTCCGTCTCCTCCGGACTCCGTGTGGGACGGTCACTGCGCGCGAGCTGTTGTCGAGACAGCACGAGTCCTGTTGTCAATGGCAACCGCTAACCCTGGTCCTTAGCAACTATCACGAGGTTTGAACATTTCCGTTCTAACATCACAATCGATAATCGATAACATCGTTATTTCCTCTACACGGAGCTGAAGACGGCTGGAGCCTTTATTAAAGCTGCAATTATTATTATTATTATTAGTAGTACTAGTTGTAGTAGTAGTAGTAGTAGTGGTAGTTGTTGTTGTTGTAGTAGTAGTTGTAGTAGTAGTAGTATTAACTGCACAAACCATGAAAGAAAATGAACGTCTGCAACAGTGATGGGACACACTCTCAACAATATTTGATTTAAATAATATTAAAATGTTTTCAGCTGAATGAGTCAAACATTTAGATTAAGATAAGATAATAAGATTCCACGATTAAATAAAGTATGTATACTTCTATATACAATTATTAGTACTATTATTATGAGTAGTAGTAATAGTAGTAGTAATAATAATAGTAGTAGTATATTACATTTGTATACAATGGTCTGTAACAAAAAAATGTGGCAACTCCTAGCTACTTAGCTGCATATCAACATGTTTTATGTTGATTGAAATAAAAAAAAGTATTACAAAAATATTTATTAACACAGGCTCTCAGAATTGCAGATGTTGTTGATGTCTGTAAACATATTATGACATGAACATTATTTTGGGACATGAATAATGTTGGACAGCTGTTCTCTCTTCTGAAGCATTATTTGCAATTCATGAGTTCTTCTAATCCCACTCCAGATTAAAAAGCTCTAACACCCTGCCAATATCTTCCCCTCCTTCTTTCTTTCTTTCTTTCATTTTCTTTTTTCTTTCTTTGTTTGGGTTCTTTGCTCCATACTGCAGCAGCTGCTGTTCAACATGCAGCCAACACTCCCATCTTGTGGTCGACCGTTGTATTCATGACACAGGCCCCCATAGGATGACACTTGACTCTCTCAAGTTACTCTTTCCATAGTTTATTCCACTGGGGATACAATTTTGGATTTGTTTCAAAATTAATTTAAAAATTAAAACGAATATTTACAAAATATACACACACATAAGACAAAAACCTCACCACTCTTATTTCTCATCTTGTCTGACAGCTGGAAGGAGAGAATCACACACTCAAGAATACTGGTCATGTCAAAAGAAAAACTCAGCTGAGGGATAAGGTCAAATAAAAGAGTTTACTATCTGTCCAATGTGCGACTCCTAATCACAATAAGATCAAACTTGTTGCTAACAGAAATGTTTCCAGTTTCCTATTTTGTGATTGAATGCACAGCCCCATCCTACACAATGTTATGTTCTTAGTTTTTCAAGATGAACTAAAGGTCATCAAGGTGAGAAACTATACAGAGATGACCAAGTCAGGAGATCAGCTCTCAGATACAATGACCACATGTTAAAGGGACTTACTGAGCCTTTTTCAAAAATGAAACTATATAATAGAAAAAATGAAACTATAGTATATAATAATATACAATAATATATAATATATAATATATATATATATATATATATTAGGAGTCGCACATTGGACAGATACTAATATATATATATAATATAATATAATAATGTTGCAAAGTACACATAAAATGAAAAATAATATATTCAAAATATACACACGCAAGCGCAAAGACAAAAACCACGTGTTCATATTAAAACATTCAATAGTAACCTCCAGTTACTGAATGGTCTAATATTACACACACACAAAAAAGCATGTGTATTGTGGAAAAACCCAGCTACTGCACCTTGACACCTTTTATTTGCATGAAACTTACAATCTGATGATCTATGGTGATTTGGGTTTTCTTCCCTTGTGGGGGCCTACAGAGGGAATCATTTGCTGAAGTGTTACTTTCATGTACAATGACAGGAAGGTGATGTGAGAAGGGAAGTAAGCCCTGATCAAACGTCACATGTATGCACACTGACAGACAGTTACACTCTTAAAAAAAAAGATGAGCATCAATTTCTTGAGATAAAATTGTAATTTGGCTTTATTTCCTTCATTTCCACCACACCGTGCCTACCTCTCATGTACACACACAATCAGAGTTTCATATAGTGACATTTTAGCAGTGCACTCCAAAACCACAGCCCTCCACTGCTGACTTTTAAGAGAGGCCACATGAGAAGTGCAAGGAAGCTCTCTGACACAATCTGTAGTTCTCAAAGCACAGTTCAAAAAGGGGGATTTCCCTTCAACATTTTTTTACTTAATTAATTTTAGTAAAACTCAACTTACTGAAGATGAAGTGTAAAATGCAACAGTTTGTTGTCACATGTATTCAACTGCAACAAATCCATAATTTTCCATACGAACATTCTGCAGTTCAAGTGACAGTATGGACTAAAAATTAACTTCAGTTTAAAGAGTTGAGCTTCATGAAAAATCTATGGGGTGAATTTCATAATACTTTTCCTGTGAAAAAATGAAAAAAGAGGAAATACTCTAACTACAGTTAGATCAGGATCTCCACTTCACTGCGTGAAGCAGTTGAACCCTTATTGTAATAAACTGTTAAATTGCGTTACTCATCATGAATCATTTATAACACCAGTGCAGAACCTGTTCCTGTTTGGAATGAGCTGTTTTCTTGGCCTGTGGTAATGCTCATCATCTGGGAATCCTCCCCAAAAACCCCAATAACATACTGTGATCTTTCTAATGTTTCGTTGCTGGACATTGTGTGCAGAGCTGTTTATTAATAGTCTATGATGCAAAGTGAAGGTAGAAAATTTGGTGTTCATCCTATCAGGTTAATCTGCCATGAAGAGTTTATCGTCAAATCTTTTTATAAAATGAAACAGAATTTACAAAATAAAAGCTCTGTAATTCAGCTCGATATAAAGCATGGCAGCAACAAAATGAACCTTGTGCATTTACTTTGAAGACAACTTGCCCAACAAGAAGTGATTCTATGAATGTTGCTGCCATGAGATCAGCACCCAGGAGACCTGCGACTGTGTGTCAGTCTGATATGATGAAATAAAACCATCAGATTATCAAAATGATCCATGCCCACTTGACAACCACTGCTGTAGTTCATCTGAGGATGTACAAGAAGACATGTTCAACTTGGTCCACAGGCTGACTGTTAGCACGCTGCCCTGTCGTAGATCATTGCAGTCTTCTGATGTTGTACCATGTAGTAGCTAAAGTTAGTATTGTCTTGAAGTTTCTATTCTTGTTCAGGGTTGGGGCACTGATGTCTGTTATTGTTTCATTTGTTGACATTAATGTCTCCTGAATAACCCCCACTGGAACCACATTCTGTGTAACTTCTTCAGGCCGTGGAACCATACTTTGGTTCAGGCGTCCACTGCAGCTTCTCCAGATTTTCCTGCAGCAGCTGGGCGCAGCCGGATAAATCCATGTAGTGCAAGGCCGAGAAGACGTCACTCAGGCCCGCAGAGGAGCGCTGGCTCCACAGCCTCAGAATCTGGTACTGTTTCTCAATGGAGCCCAAACCAGCCTCCAGCTCAACACGCTCCAGCTGCTGATCAGCCACCGAGAGAAGCCGCAAGAATTCCTTCCACCTACGCAGGGGCACCTCCTTGATGATGGCATAGAGGACAATGGCCGGCCAGTGCTCTGAATGCTTATCTCGTCTGACAGCTGGAAGGAGAGAATCACACACACTCGAGAATACTGGTCATGTAAAAACAAAAACTCAGGTGAGGGATAACGTCAACTGAAAAAGTTTACTGTCTGTCCAATGTGCTATTGCTTAAACACAATAAGATAAAACTTGTTGTTGCTTATAGAAATGTCTCCAGTTTCCCCTTTAATGCACAGCCCCATCCTGCACAATGTTATCTTCTTAGTTTTTCAAGATGAACTACATGGAGGCATTTTAGACGACTAAGTCAGGAGATCAGACCTCTGACTACAGTGACCAACTGTTAAAGGAACTGAGCCTTCTTTCAAAAATGAAACTAGATATGAGTGAGGTGTTTTTTTAAAGATTGTGGTTTGACATATAATTGTTTGGACCTTTTCGTGGGGATTCATGACATAATGGGAGGTGTAGAAGAATACCAGCCCCCTGTGTGAGCCAGTAAATGAACACTGACTCACATGGGGGGTTAAAAATTAAGATTTTTAATTGCTTTTTTTATATGTGGTACATGGAATATCTTCCTCATGCCTAAAATAGACATGAAACCTCTAGCTGCCATACAAGCTAATAAAGCAACATAATGATAAAGGACACAGTGAATAGGACAATCACAAGTATTATGTGACTTGGATGCAGGTTCTGTCTTCCTAATAAAAATCCCTAACATACAGTTTACGGTAAAAGCAAAGTGAACAACCACCATCCCAAACAGGCGTCACCATGCTGGTAACAGCACTACAGTCACAAGGGGTTTTTTCAGCACGACCACAAACCAGATTAAAAGACAGTAAATGCAGTGGTACTGAAGGTTGAACATTCAGGGCTAGTCAGTCATTGACCTATTGATGACTTCTTCTTGATCTATTGACCAATAGTTTCTAACTTTATATATAAATATATATATATATATATATATATATTAGATCTGCTGCAGCCACTCTCCCAGTTTGGGAGCCCCTAATACTCCTACAATCAGGGGGATCACATTGCATTTCACTGTCCACATCTGTTCTACCAGATACAGATACTAGCCACGTGTGAAGCTGATAAGATGAACACTTGATGTGCTTGTGAAATAAGAAGGTAGATAAAGTTAACAGTAACATCCACTCACTATCGGATTTGTCGTTTCCCTGTATTTCAAATTGTTGACTGAGCTGTTTCCCAGGTTCCACCTCCACTCTGCGGACCACACGGCTGATCACTGATAAACACTGCTGAATAAGCACATATGAAAAGGCTGCAGCTCCGAGTGTGAAAGAACCACATCAGATAAACAGTTTGCAAAGAGATTCTCCATGAATGCAAATGTCAGAGTGAGGGCGTCCAGATTGTCTGTGGAGTTTCTACACCTGGCCCCATTAAGTAAGCACAAAGTTGAATCTGATGTGAAAACACAGGGGCTCTCCCGCTGGATTCACAGTGAGTGAGTTGGGGGGGGGTTGATGTCTCTTCTAACACGCAACAGACGCAAACATGGAAAAAACAAACAAACAAACGGAAATATCTGACAACAACGAAGATGTAAAGAGAGTTTGTGGCAATGAGTCCCGACACCTGTGTCTGTGTGTTGTCAAGAAAATCTCGATGATCTCCACAGCGGAGATAATGCGTCACTGCCTGTTTCCACCTGCTGCACCTCGGTGCTCCACCTCTTACTTAAATAATGAGGAGGATTTGATGCTGTTGTGACAGCGTCTGCGGAGAGATCCTCCCGCTGCGTGGTGCATATATGAAAACTTAAGGTAAAGTCCTGACCCAATTCTCTGGACTTCATCCGCAGGTCATGTCTGAATAGTGACCAACACCAGAAATCACCATGGCAATTTTTGTTTCTCCCGACACAGCTAGAGGTGTTAACACCTAGTGGTGTCACCTTTTAACCAAACAATCAGTCGAGCTCAAGGTACTGAGGTGTCCTTAAGCAAAGCACTAAATCCTGTACAGCTGATTCGAAGAGTACTCTTGAACACTTCTGACATAAATTATGCCGCTGTATTGCTGAGACTGGTTTTTCTAGTTTGTTTGAAGTCCATGCCAGTTTCCTTAAAGACATAAATCCAGTTTTGTATCTGACTTAACAGCTAACCCTCCCTTATCGAAGGCATTTTAGATTATTTTCCATACTGCATCCAGTTCTTCACTTTCCACCCAATGTTTGCTGCTTGGATCATAATTGAGCTTTATACATGGTATTGATTTTTTAAATCTCAAACTCTGATTACACCGTAGGCAGATCATATTTGCTTCTCAAACACGATCTTTAGGAAATAAACTGTCTACACTGTTTTCTTAGAAAGTGATCAGATTGATACTTGTGTCTATACAAATGACTGTACATAAAGCGACAGGTTTCTCTTTCTTTCTGGAGCAGTTACAACCCACTTCAAACAAGCCGCTTCATAAAGACTGGTAAAAACAAAGGCTTGACATAAATCTATTTCAAACCAATTTCAGTGTGTTCGTTTTTTTAGGTTATGGATAATGTTTATCATTTTAATGAGACAGGATGTTCTTTACATAACATGAGCCTGACTTTATGTCTCAGTACAGAAACAGCTCTGGTGGTCCAGTGATGATTTCATTCATTCAGAGTAGATCAGAACACCCGCTGCCTTTCATGATCACTTTCTCTCTCCATTATAATGTTTTGACCACATTAACATTATAATAGCAGCAACACTGTCATGCATTTGATAATAAATAGATTGCAATCCCCGGTTGACGCCTCTGGCCCATTTTAACATGTCATACCTCACTTAATTCAAGTCTGTTTTATATCATAACGAAACGCAGGCTTCTGAAAAACCTCATCAATCTAATGTGTCCACCTGAGTCAGTGATATTGTGGCTGAGAATCAAACACTGAAACTTACCCTCTTGCTCAACATTTGGCAGCAGAGGACAGATATGGGCTGCAGGGCGTTGTGACAAGACTGGACAGGGACTAAGATCCATCATGGGACTTTCCTCAGAAATGTTAAATGTCTTAAAAAAAAGAAAGAGGAAAAAGAAGATCAGTGTGAGTGTTGATTTTGAATACACCTTTATTCACCCAACTTAATGTGATCAACTGGAAACCTTTGATATCTTGACCTTTACATGTTTTTTCCACAAGGCCTTTTGACTAACCCTGCAGTGCTGCTGCTCGGCTAGATCTTTAACTCAAAATAACTCAAAGTACATGAAACTGAACACAAACCAGTGTGGCCAAGCTGCTGCCTTGATGACTTTCTTGTTCTGTGTAGGACACAAAAAGAAGCAGATATAATCAGTGAGCTTCCTGCTTAAACACGGAAAGAAAGTTTTAAAAAAAGAAAAAAGAAACGCAGTTCCATTTCTGTGAAGATATTTGTTGATAAGAGAAAGACCGTGTTAAAGTTTATACTGAGCGTCAAATTAAAATACC